GCTGGAGGCAAAGGCCGACCTCCTGGAGGGCTCGCACTGAACTGACTCCAAGCCATTCCTATCACCTGTGACTGATGTTAACCACAAGCTGACCTTCACTTTCCCTCTCCCCAGGCCCCAGAGAAGGGCAACAGGGGCCCCAGGCCATTTCAGAGAGAAGAAGGGAGACACTTGACTGGAGCAAGAGTGAGGAATAGACATAGCCCTATCCTGGGAACATAGACTTAGTGCAATTAAATCCATGACCCAAATCACCATGGACTCTCCCCATCTAAACCACAGGAACTGGCCAGGCACGGTAGCTCATGTCTGTAACCCCAGCGCTTTGGGAGGCTGAGGCAGGCGGATCACGTGAGGTCAGGAGTTCGAGACCAGCCTGGCCAACAAGTGAAACCCCATCTCTACTAAAAATATAAAAATTAGCCGGGTGTGGTGGTGGACACCTGCAATTCCAGCCATTTGAGAGGCTGAGGCATGTGGATGGCTTGAATCTTGGAGGTGGAAGTTGGAGTGAGCTGAGATCATGCCACTACACTCCAGCCTGGATGACAGAGTGAGATTCTATCTCAAAACCAACCAACCAACCAACCAACCAACCAACCACAGGCACTAAGGAAACCCCTCAGTCCAGAGGCTGGATGATACCATTCATTCATTCATTCCTTCATTAAATACTGTGATCCTGCTATGTACAGAGCAGTACGGGAACAGGGATACCCTTTCTATGTTGGAAGACATGTTTCCATAGCTGGAAAAATGGGAAGGATGGGACAGAGCTGTGGATTTTATCCACATTTGCCTTCTGCACAAGGCATGTTTCTTCTCAAGCTCAGGGTAAAGAGCAGAAAGCCTGTTTCTTAAAATAGTCTTCTAATACCCAAAGCTTCACGTCATCATTCCACTGCTGAGTTAATTTCTGACATCACATCTTCTCTAGGCAGCTGGGTGGCATGTCCTTAGCTAGCCACAAAGAGGGAGTAGGGAAGATCCTTTGACATTCAGCTCCTTCCCTTAATAGCTGTCCTCACCTGGCTCAGAGTCAGCTTTCAAAGTACCTTACACATGCCCTCATTCAATTACTCTATTAATAACAGCAATAACATTAATGAAGGCTGCCCTTTATCCAGCACCCACTATGAGCCAGGCATTTGATATCCTTAATCTTGTGTAAGCCTCATAATAACTGCAAAGCAGTTTGTGTCAATCTCCTTTCTGGATGAAGAAACCAAGACCAGAGAGAGCAAATAACATGCCCAAGGTCACAGAGATTGAAAATGACAGAGCCAGGATTGGAGCTTGCATCTCTGCCATCTCCCAAGCCTCCATTCCACGCCTTATCCTCAAAACTGCGTGACCTCCATGCATATGCAATAAAGTTGCCCTGTGAGGTCACGGGAGAATCTTCATACCCATTTCCTTTAAGGTAAGAATTCATCTTGGTGCTTTCAGAGTCAGTCTGAACCCTGGCTCTCTGAGACCCTCTTATAAATGAAAAAGAAAAAGACCTTGGTA